CCCAGCCCTGGTCGCAGCACCACGGTGCAGATGCGGTGGCTGGCAGGGGAAGGGCACAGACATGGAAATGGCTCCACACTGAAAGCCGCAGCCTCACTCCTGCCTGCGATGCAATTACCCCTCGTGCGGGGTTTTATTGCATGACGGGTTCATTACTCCCGGGGCAGAGGAATGCAGCCAGTGCCTGCGGGCTGTGGGGCGCAACGTGCGTACAGCGGCGGAACCACTGGTAGAAAGTATCAACGCACAGTATCGCCAACGTACTCGATTGGCTAGTGATTATATGAGACTATTTTTATTAAAAAAATAAGTTTCTAACCCTGCTGATTGCAGAGAAAAGCTTGAAAATGTGACCCGAATCCATCCTAACTTCAAGGGGTAAATAAAAATGATCACATATTTGTTTTTTCAAATGTCTTGTGATTTTTAAGATAATTTCATGATTTTCTGGGGCCTGACTCGTGAATTTTGAGTACTTGTGGATGGCAATATTGGATAAAAAGGTGCATGTCTCCAGGACAGAGAAATTACAGACTGACAGTAAGAAATCACAATCAAGCAAATAAGGAGAGCATGGAAAGATACAGATGTAGTTATTTAAATACCAAGTATTGTAGGTCACTGCTCTCCTTAATGGAATTGCTGTATTTGTGACAGGATTCCTTCAGTGGGAAAGGCACTAGCTGCCTGTCAGTCCTATTCCAGTCAATTCCAAACACCATTTCAGTGCACAAGCAGGATCCAAGTCCCAAAGAGTTTACAGGCTAAAGACTCAGACCTTCTCTACTTTGGAAGGGGGGCAGGGAGCACTTTATCTGCAAAGGGGACAAGGACAGACTAAGCTAATTAGCACAGCTCGTAGCTGGACTTCATTCTCCTCTCTCCGGTGACACTGTCAGGAACTTGTCCCCTGTGTGGTAAGCGCATGAGCAGCATGGCTCTGCTGTTCCAATAGCTAACAGGGCAGGCATTCCAACCACCATCCTTACGCTTCAGAGTTAACAGTCAAGTGAGATGAACAGGGCAGCTCCTGTATGGTTGTTTCCAGCTCTTTGCAGAGATTGCTGCACTCAGTTCACATGTCACAGGTTTTGTTTGCGGGAGCTTTCATTTGATAGGCTTCAGTCCTGGAGATAGAGTCGGCAGCGATGCTGGAGTCTGTGGCCACAGAGCTGGAGGATTCCTGGGGCCTGGGTTACACGGAAGGTTTAAGCGCAGCATCATCCTGGGCAAACAGAAGCCCCTCCATGCCCCAGCTGGAAATGGAATATTTCCTCCCTTGTTTAAGAGCCCCGTTCAGCCAGCCTGGACCTCTGCCTCTCCCTGGCAGAGCTAATTTGCACTTCAATGCCCAGAAGCGCCTCTGGCTCCCAGCTAGTTCCCAGCCAGTTGTCCGGGCACAGAAAGTGCCTGGCGTCCCTCACTTCCGAACTGTGCTCCGTGTGCTTTTGTGATGGGAGGCTGAGCCCTGGCTAGTGCCCCGAGGGGAAGTGACAGCTAGCCCTAGGGCTGCCAGGCTTCCCAGCGCTGGGTGGCCCATGGGGAAGGGAGGGGGAGAGGGGCGGGAAGGGCAGACAGGCACAGGACTAGTCCAGGAAGGAGTGGTGTGCCAATCTGACAGCTGGCACCTTGCAGCAGAGGCCACTCAGGCCCCTGGGAGCTGGTGGGGGATACCGGAGGCAGCAGCTACCCCTGCAGCAGAGCACTCCCCACAAGGGCTCCGCCCTTTCTGCAAAGCAGGGGCCTCAGGCTGGACAGTCAAATATCCAAGGGAGGCTGGTCTCTGAGGCCACAGGGTGCTCTTCCCCACAGGCCAACCCCTCCACAGCTGCCATTGCTCAGCACCCTTCCCTGGCCACACAAGGGGAGCAGGATCAGGCCCCTGGTTGGGGTGGCCCCGTCTGGCAGGAGCTGGGGACCTGCCGGCTCAAGGTCTCCTCTCCCGGGAGTGTCAGTGACAGATCTCACAGCAAACAATGGATTTGGGCTAATCCTTTTATGGCCGCGCAGCCGGCTCTTTACACGCCACTGCCAGGGGAGCCAATGGGGCTGGGCACCCTGGCTGTGCTAGTGCCGCATCCGCAGTCCCATCCGCCTCCCTCCGTCAGCTCAGCGCCGGGTGCGGAGCCCCAGCAGGCTGGTTCGTTGCGCTGCAGCGGCGGGAGGGGGCTGGCACGGTTCCGTACCCCTGC